ATATACAATAGAATGAAACCTCTTTTAACAATATTACCAGACGAACAATATGGATTCCGTGAAAAACTCGACACAACAAAACAGCTACTTAGAATAATCGACTACATTGGCAGAGCACTCATTAACAAAGAAGCAATAGTTTTCCTCATGATAGACATCTCAAAGGCATTTGACAAAGTATGGCATACCGGAACAATCTACAAACTCATCCAATTAAACTTTCCTCCCGGCATCATTAAATTACTATCCTGCTACTTAACCAATAGAACCTTTCAAGTCAACCTACAAAATCAAAAATCAACTCAAAGAAAAATCACAGCTGGAGTCCCCCAGGGCAGCATACTGGGTCCGATACTATACATTCTATATACACACGACTTCCCCATAAACAAAGCAGACTACAATAGTATCACAGCCTATTATGCAGACGACACAGGAATTATAATTAAATCAAGAAATCCAAATCAAGCTTTACTTAAACTACAGGATCAACTAATAGAAGTCGAAAACTGGTGCAACCACTGGAAAATCAAAGTAAATGCAGAAAAATCACAACTCCTCATAATCCAAAAAAGAAGAATCAAAATCCAACAAAATTACAAACCCAAACTCTTTAATACCCCTATTCCAATAGTCAAGAAAGCAAAATATCTCGGTTTAATCATCAATAGCAAACTCTCCTGGTCAGATCATGTTAAACAAATCACCGACAAAGCAATGGCAGCAGCATATTCCATACAACCACTCATCCAAAATTCCAACGTCTCATTAAATCTCAGAAAACTGCTCTATACAAGCATGATCCGACCTATCCTCACCTATGCCTCTCCTGCCTGGGCAACAATTCCAGATCACTTAATGAAAAAACTTAATCAAACCCAGAATAAACTCCTCAGAAAAATCACCCGTGCCCGCTGGTTTATCCGAAATAAAAATATCCACCAAGACCTCAAAATCCCTCCTCTCTCTGAATATATCAACAAATTAAACGCAGATTTTTACAAAAAAGCCGAAGAATGCACAACAGCCAATTTCAACCAGATCCTCTCATTCGAAAACTACAAAAAAGATTCTCACCTCAGACCAATAGCAGCTTTTTATACATCAGATGCCTCCTTTCATCATTACCAACAAAAATAGTAATATATCATCACAGCCTCATTGGTAGAGTATCCGCCTACCACCACACTGATCCCAGGTTCGACCCCAGCCGACATCACTTTTCCAATAAATCTCCAGAATCATCCGAAAATCAACCTGCATCGTCTTCTTCATCCAGTATCACAACAAAGCATTTCTCACTGTAAAAAATCATCAAAGTCTTCAATCCATCATCTTGATTCCTCATCAACTTCCTCAATTCTTCATCCAGATTATTCTTCATCATGTGTCCAGATTCCTCATCAACTTCCTTCATCTAGATTATCCAGAATCCTGAAAACCAACAGTAGCAAGTGCTGCCACCTAGTAACTCCAGTGCAGTATATTATCTAAATAAACTCAGAACTTTCAAATAGAACTCTAATAAAAATTATATTATATTACAAAATACTACAATAGAATTTTCAAATATGTAAATAATCAATCTGTAAACTCTAAATCATCAACTGTAAATTTATATATTTTATTATTTTTGTTTTTTGTTTTTACCACCACAATGTAGCAAAATTTCAAAATGTTTTTAAACACAATGTATATATGTCACTATGTATGGGATAGGGGCCGCTGCGCGGCCCAGGTGCCCAGTTCTTTTTTAAATAAAGCGAAGCGAAAATAATTAATTGTGGGGGAGGGGAGATCTGAGTTCATGACCCCTCCCCCCCAGGAAAAATTTCTGGATCCGCCTCTGGATAAGTGGTTGCAATTACACTCGAACACTTTCATTAGAACTAGTAAGAATAATTAACCACATTTTCGAAACATGTTTCTTAAATGTTTTATATAATAAATTTTTTTTTCATTTCAATGATAAGGTGTAAAAAATGAACCATGTTTCTGTATAAGTTGAACCATTGTGTTTAAACACAAGTTGAAGTGTAATCATGTTTAATCGAAAAGTTCTGTGAAATTATTCAACTTAGTGCCATATTGAGGTTGCAGCATATTTGAATAATATTCTCGTTCAATATTCTCCAGAACTTCTAACAATGTACAGTGAAATAGTATATGGATAAAATAAATAACCTTTGATTTTGTTTTTTAAAACTGGCTTCTGGGCAGTTTGAATGCAAATGGAGTAAAAAAGGGACATTTAATCACTTACATAAGTAAAGTATTTTTCTATAATTTGGAGAGAGATGAATTGCTAGAGAAGTAGACTGCTGGGAGTATAAAATACTAATAAGGAAGTTATAAAAATATTATTTCTCAGGATAATCATGATATAGTGACATTCGTTTGAGACCCATATTGCACTGAGCCCGCGTGTCCTGAAGGCTTATTAGGAAATGTATTATTTATTACTCAACTAGTTTGATTCATTTCAGACAATATACAATAAGTCATGAGAAATGAAGACTAAATAGACTTAGTAAAGGCTTATTGTGATAAACCCAAGCAAATTCAGTCTATACTAGTAGTTCTTTGCTCATTTCATAATTAGCCTGAAGCAATATAGGTTAATTGTAAATGTAATATTATTTTATAGGCTAATTGTAACTAGCTCAAATGTCAGGCAAATTGAAAAATACTGAAGGTTTTTCCGATTAATTTGGCGCAATGCGAAATGCCGACGGCATTTAGAAAGAACTTACGTCGTAAACACACTTTTCCAAACTAGAGCCCCAGAATTAGACAGGCCGACTTATCATTTATTTTTGAAGCAAAGAGCTAACATAAGCGCATAACATAACTAATACTAAAATAACTTTAACTTGCGAACTTGTTTGCTCCAATATTGCTTGATAGGTCAGCTCTGATAGTATAGGAGCCTTATTCCAAACAAGTTATTTTTTAGCAACTTATCGAGAATAAAATGTATTCTCTGGTCTACTGATATTGCATTCGTTGGTAGGAATTAATTATTGTTTGTTTATGTTTCAGATTCATCAAGTGGCTTATCAACTGCAGCCATCGCTGGAATCTTTGTGGTTGCATTTCTGGTCATCGGCCTAATTGTCGGGGCTTATTTTGCTAGAAACTCTTTTGGGAAAAATAGATTTCGTATTCCTTTTCGGTTGGTTCAGAGTGTAAGTTTTGATAACGCCCTATACAATGTGGATTCGACAAGTGTAGAATTTAACGACGACAGAAGATAGATTAACGAATAGCGTTTTGTATCGTGTCATATTATTTATTCATTGTGAAATAAAATTTGTTTCATTGTATGTGAAATTATTGGTAAAATTCATTGTTCAGAGTAATCATTGGATGAATGACGTGTCATTATGTTAACAATTTAAATAAAAAGTTAGGAACCAAAAACAAACAAAATCGAAATTCTAAAGATTTGTATGTTAGCAAAAACACTTCTTCAGGGACACACTGTCTGCTAACACTGTGGAACCTTTCTGTAGTTAGTGGTTAATGGAAAAACTAAATAATAAAATATAAAAGTAGAAAAAACTAACCCCTACTCGAATAGTAGCAGAAACTCCATGCAAGAAAGCTGCAATGCGCAATTTTGTTGCGAAATTAATATTTGAACTACTATTTCATGATCTGACTTTTGTTGATATTTTAATGGAGTTTCTGGTTCTGTTCCCGTGTTTACAGGACCAAAAACTCCATGCAAGAAAGCTGCAATGTGCGATTTTGTTTGGAAATTAATTGATATTTTAATGAAGTTTCTGGTCCTGTTCCCTTGTTTACAGGACCAGAAACTCCATGCAAGAAAGCTGAAATGCGTGATTTTGATTGGAAATTAATATTGAAACTACTGTTTCATGATCTGAATTTTATTGATATTTTAATAGAGTTTCTGGTCCAGTTCCATAATTTTTTTTTTGTATATTTTATTATTTAGTTGTCCCATTATGAGACCTAGGGGAACAGTCAGTTTTTGGTTTAACCACTGACTACAGAAAGGCTCCAGTGTGTTAGCAGACAGTGTATCCCCTGATGAAGTGCTGTTTTTGATATCATACATATCTTTAGAATTTCGTTTTTGCTTGTCTTTGGTTTCAAACTTTTTACTTAAATTATTTACATAACACAAATTTAGTTTTAGGTGGTTAGCGCTTTTCCGCTTTGACTTAAAAATTATTTTAAAGCTTTTTTTTATTATTATTTATTTAAGTCAATTTAATATTTTATTGGATATCATAATGTTATTATTACTCCAACTAGGCTGCCTGGTGGTTAGATTCATTTCAGAAAAGTTTCCGGTTCGAATCCCGGTCACGTCTTTTTAGAACAAACATTATTTTGAACTTTTAAGACCTTTATTCTTTCGAAGGAACTCAGCTGTTGAAGGGTGGTGACGCGGTGGGGAAATCCTAAATGTGATTTTTAATCTTTTTTTACTTAATTTTTCACAAACCATTTCTAATTTTAAATTCCTATTTGCAAAAAATTTTCATTGATTTAATTGTGATAAATTCTTTGAGATATTTTTAAAAATGCTGACAGTTATTAGCAATGAACCTATAAAAATCAAAGCAGGAAAGCCCTGGGTGGAATAGTTTCATGCAGGGAGGGACTTTTTACGAAGAGGATTATACTAGATTTGCAATTTCAAAGAATTGTTGTAGTTGTTTATGTTGACGTATGCCTGTTTAGGCAGAGGGGTGCCCATATGTCACACCCGTTTATAGGGCGAACCCATTCATGCATTCATTTACTCATCCACAGAGCGTAATTTTGAACTGAATCAGAGAACGATTAAGCAATTGACGTTTACGCTTTCAAAACAAATTGTTTCAGCCTCATAAAACAAATCAACAATAGTAATTTCTTTTGAATGAAGCAATTAAGTATTTAAGTAAAGAGAAAATAACTTATTTTTTTAGAAAATTATTTATATTTTAATTATTATTTTACTACCATTTTGCAATATCCATCACACGTTAACAGCTCAACAAATATAAACTAATTAATCACGTTAGAAAAAAAAAGCAAAAAGCGACTATAAAAACTAAATAGTGACATTCTTATTATTTTATTGTCTTTTTTCTCTCTTTACAATCTTTTTTTCCCTCACTTCACCGAAATTATCGGACACGCGTAAAGAATAACAGATAGAATAACAGAAAACGCGTAAAGAATAACAGATAGAATAACAGAAGATAATTTTTTTTCTTTCACGGTGGTAAAAGTCGGAGGCTTATAGTATCAGCTTATATGGTCATTGGGAAGGATTTTACAAGGCAATGATAAGTGGGAAATTATCTCTGGCTCGCAGGTCAGGCGTTGCTGATACATATTTTTGAAGATGTACAGGGTGTTCCAAAATTATCTTTACATCACCTGGCTTGAAATTGATTACAGACTGGAAGTGCTTAGGGCCACCAATGGTGCGCATGTTGAAGTGTACTAAACAAAACTTTATTAGTTGCAGTAATACATGCAAAAGACAGAATATAAATATCTTGTTTATTTTCGAAGTTATGAATTTTTGAAGTTGTAAAGAGAATTTTGGAACACCCTGTATATNGAATATAGTTAAAATAAGAAAGTGGTAGCAAATATATGACTAAAAATTTATTTTATTTATGAATATTATTGGTTTGAATTATTCACTTGTCAACCACTACAGATTCAATTCTCAAATAATTTCTCTCAAATACTTTTATGAAAGGTTTTGGGTTCATGCGCACAACTGGTTCACTTTTTAAACAGTCTGCGCGGACTACTTATAAGAGACCGTGTGGAGGCTTCTTGATGTAGGGGGTGATGGCTGGCCTAACTTTAACCTAGTGAGGTATAATATTGGCCTTAGAATTATTTAGAAGTAGTGGTGAGTAAAAATCCTATAAATCGAATTTATTAAACCAAGAATTTTATATTAAAAGACTACCACTCAAAAATATTTATTCTCTGTTGGGAGCAAGTTGACTTTTTTTGTGTACATTATGCAAGGGGATCTTGGTATCGCCACGTAAGAAATTTTTAGGACATAAAATACAAAACTCTATTATATTTCAATAACAGCCTGTGCTTTATAATTAAAGTTACATTGTTTACGTCAATATAATGTTCGTTCTGGTTGGTGGAAATCAATGAAATTTGGCACATTCGTAATATTAAGTGTATTTAAAAAAATCTGCAATGAAGAAAATCTATCACATTTCGTCCACTATGTGAAAAAATGACCTGAATACACAAATTGGATACGGTAAACTATTTTATTTTATAACCGTCATTGAACAGCCGATCCAGTTTTACGTTTAGGACATTCAATGTTCATCTCCGAAGCCTTGTAATATTGATCCCAATCCAGAAGACAAGAGAACTTCTGAATCAAGTATTGGGAAAAATTTGCCTTCTTGGAGGTCTTAATGATAGAAATAAATCTCATTTGCTTTACTTGGTGAGGAAGACCACGAAAACCACCCACGGTTAACCTGATGGCAAGGGGACTCTAACTCATGATCAGTCTACCATTAAGGATACTTTACGTCAGCACTGTGGTTGGTGCGATCTGAGTGAGGAATTTGCATCGACCTGCCATTGCTATGATTCGAACCCTGTTCACATAATTGGAGCGCTCCACTCTTTGAACCTGACACTGCTCTCTGCAAACTATTTTTTTATCTTATATCCGTTGTTAAACAGCCAACCCAGTTTATTCTTGGGTTTACGACTTCTAATGTTAAACTCCGTAGCCTTGCAATTTTGAACCAATCCAGAAGACAAGGAAACTTCTGGATCAGTGCCCCCAGAGGTATTGATTTGTTATGGGAACATGGAGGACTTTGCGACTCGACAGATTTAACTTGCATCAGTCACCATTTACTACACGGGGAGTTTTCCGCCGGTGGGGATCGAACCCACGAACTCTTGAACATGGGCTCAGCGCTCTACCAACTAGGCTATTCAGGCCCTCTGTAAACTGTTTATAATGATATCATCTATTCACCGTGAGTTCCATTTTCTTCACATATTTATTCAAAATGCGTTATACCACGTTTGACCCTATAACGCGAAGAGCTTCTTGATCAGCAATGTGACTTGTTAAGCCAGCTTTCAAACTAGTTTTATTTGAAAAACTACCTCAACCTTTTTCTTGCGATTTTTTCCTTCGATCTTTCTTCTTCAAATGTATAGTAATCATTTTCTAAAAAAGCTTTCAACGGAAATCTTTTAAAAATCTTTATTTTTGCATTGTGATTGAGGCTGCTGTTGTAATCAAACAACTTTACCGGCTATTCTGGTACTTTCTTGATTGCATACGCCAGTAAATATTGATTTAATATTACGCAAGATTGCACAGAAACTAACCCAATAATAATATGTCGAATGACTGTTGTTTGCACATCTGCAATATTTAGCACTTTGGTATAAGTATTGAACTTGCCATCCTAATTTTTCAGGAGATAAAAATAGGTTTAAAATTTATGGACTGTTTTAAAGGTTAAAAAAAAACGTGTCATCCTATTAATAAAATGCTGGATGGTACTAAATTAAAATTGTTTCCTAAAAACAAATTTATTTAAGCACATCATTAAAAAAAACAAACTTGGAAAATGAATTTGAAAAAATATTATTTGCACTGAAACAAGATAATTTTTATTATCCTAACCGTAAAAATAGCCAATACATGACGCATTTTCTCTCGATAAAATCAGCTATTTTAACTATTGAGTTGAATGTCTTAAGGCTGTAGTGTAAAAATTTTAAACGATAGCTTTGTAAAGAATATTACAGCAGCCATAAAGAAAGCAATTTCGTTTAATATGACACGCACACCATCTTTATCTATAATTTTTACACCAATGGCAAGAGTAGTATTTTTATGAAGAAGCGAAAACAGCTAAATAAACAAAAAAAGTGCATTTAACTGATTTAATAGAACGTACTTGTAACAATATTAATTATTTCTTATCATAACCAATTTTTATCACAAAACATTTACAGTGATATCTTTGGCTATTCTACGAATGATTTCTCGAAACATAAAATAATACTTCTTAATGGGTAATATGCTATGTTCAAGTTGTTAGTTCATAACACTTGCTTGTTACACCCCCCCTTGTTTGTGATTTATTATAAATCTCTAGCAAAGGCCTGCTAGATCGATATAAAACTTGCACAACATATCATTTTAAAAAGTTTTTTGAGAATTTAAAATCGTTAATAGTGTATGTTCTTTTAATAATTTAAAAGTTACTCAGATAATGCATTTTATGAGCTCATAAACATAAGAACAAAATGGGTAAATTATTTATTTAAAT